AGCTGCACATCCTTCTAGTTGCTGTATGTGGGACGCGGCCTCAGCATGGCCGGAGAAGCAGCGTGTCGGTGCGAGCCCGGGATCCGAACCCGGGTCGCCAGCAGTGGAGCGCGCTCACTTAACCACCAAGCCACGGGGCCGGCCCTACCTACATATTTCTAAAGAATACGTCCTACTTTAAATTTCTTGATGTATGAATTTTAGACATCATCTCTTAACTTCCTCTTATGGTACGTAAGGATTTAGGTCACTTCCATATATCCTTTTCCCTCCTCCCCACTGCTCTCAAAATAAGTATATTGCTGATTTGTTTTTTTCAAATTCGGTTTTCAATAATAATTATGACTATGTAAGTATGAGTCACGGCTGAGCAAAAGAGTATATATACTATGATAGTATTTTTTTTGTTCGATTTAGTTTGTCCTGCAGTTTGAATTTTTCTGTTTCTTTTCCTCCGTCTTCTATGTATCTATTACCAATTCTTCCTAAACTTACTCTAACAGCTCTGAATCAATGCCTAATATAATTTTTACATAATGATATGCAAATAGTCTACTAGGATTATTCCCCCCCTCCCTAAAGAGCTCCCTTCTGGAGCCCTCTCTCTCCCATGTCAGGCTGGACTGGTTGTTCTTAGCACTGCTGTACAGTGTTATCCTGAGACTTCCCTTGACCACGATCCTAAGTCAGGTGCCCTGTTTCCTGGACTCTGTGTTTTCCTTCATTTTACTCTAGTTTTGGTGGAACACATGCTGCAGTAGTTAGCTGAGGAAGGGTATACGGCAGGTTAAATTTGAGTCCTTGCTTATTTAAAAATGTCTCGTACTTGATAGGACATTGAGCTGGGTACAGAATTCTGAGTTGAAAACTTTTCTCTCTCAATTTTGAAGGTGTTTCAGAAGCTAAAACCATTCTGATTTATGATCTTATTTTTCTCTCTGAAAGGCTTATCCCTGGTGTTTTGAAAATTCACATGGAGACTTGGTAGCGTTCTTTTTTATTGATTAAGCTGGGCACTGGGTAAGCCCCTTCAATGTGGAAACTCATGTCCTTCAATTTTTATATTATTATATTTTCTTCTACTTTTTGTATTTGTATGAGAAGTTTTCTTGTATTATTTCTTTCACAATTTCTTCCCTCACCAAAGTTTTCTCCTCTCTTTTTTTTTTCTTTTGGGTGAGGAAGATGAGCCCTGAGCTAATATCTGCTGCCAATACTCCTCTTTTTGCTGAAGAAGATTGGCCCTGGGCTAACATCTGTGCCCATCTTCCTCTACTTTACATGCGGGATGCCTGCCACAGTATGGCTTGATAAGCGATGCGTAGGTCCACCCCCGGATCCGAACCCACGAACCCCGGGCTGCCGAAGCAGAGCGCATGAACTTAACCACTACACCACCAGGGCAGTCCCTCGCCTCTCTTTTTAAAACTCTTTTTTATTAAAATGTTGGACTTCCTCAACTGATTTAAATTTCTTATCTTTCTTCTCATATTACTCATCTCTATCCTTTGATTCTGCTTTCTGAGATATTCCCAATTTTACCTTCCAATTCTTCTACCGAAATGTTTATTTTGGCTATCATTTTTAATTTTCGAGAGGTCTTTCTTTAGTCTCTTAATGTTCTCTTCTGTGGCATCCTGACCTTATATATGCAGAAATGCCTCATCTCTTTCGCTATTGTAGACATTTTCTTCTGCTCTCTGTATTGTCATTGTTTCTTTCTAAGCTCTTTGTCCTCTCTACCTTTGTTTGTGTTAGAGTTTTCTTCAAAATCTAGGTGATCCCTGTGTACCCAAGGTGAATGAGGCTTTATAAGTTGACCTAGGAGGCTTCCAAGTTAATACAGGAGATTGAATATACACATCCAATTGTACAGCCTCCCAAAACCCCACTGAGTCTTAAGAATTTGTTTGTTCATTTTTTTTTTTTTTTTTGGGAGGGAGATCAGCCCTCAGCTAACATCTGTGCTAATCCTCCTCTTTTTGCTGAGGAAGACCGGCTCTGAGCTAACATCTATTGCCAATCCTCCTCCTTTTTTCCCTTCCCCAAAGCCCCAGTGGATAGTTATATGTCATAGTTGCACATCCCTCTAGTTGCTGTATGTGGAACGTGGCCTCAGCACGGCCAGAGAGGTGGTGCGTCGGTGCGCGCCCGGGATCCGAACCCGGGCCGCCAGTAGTGGAGCGCGTGCACTTAACGGCTAAGCCACCAGGCCGGCCCCTGTTTGTTCATTTTTAAATATAAACCTACAAGAAGAAGAACGGGAGGAGGGAGAATAGCACCCTAAGTTTTTCAAACTGGAAAGCAGACAGGCAAATGCTAACTGACTTAGCAAATCTAAGAAAGCAGAATCCTAAGCTGCCAACGTTTCAAAGCTAAAAGTCAATCCGATTTATACTGCAGAATCCTTAAAAAGCTAAAGAATTTATAGCATCAAGTACAACTAGAGATGAGTGATAGTTGGTGAGGGCAGCTAAAATCAGGAAGATAGGGTAAAGACTATTTGAGGAGCACTTAGAGTCCCAAGATCCCCTCCTCGACTCTATGCTCCCAGGTAGCAGCCCTTTTCTCATCAGAAATCTGGACTATTCTCTGGAGAGAGTAAAATAGAGAGTTTCTAGACTGAGCTACTCCAGAAATAGTTGAGGGCTTGATTATCATTCAAACAAAGGGATTAAGTGAGCAGGTACATCCTCAATGCCAAGACCACTAACCCCTCCCCCCACCAGCCTCTTCCCCCAGCAGCAGCCAGACCCTCCCCAGGCTAGAGATTAGAAGACCCTTTTCTAAAAAAATTTGACCAGCAAGAGGAAAACAATACTAACATCAGTATCTCCAATAGATGCTCAGATCCACATACAAGGAAGCTCCAAGTCAGTAAGTTCCACCCCGTGACCAGAGCTTTTTAGTCTCCTCACCCAAACACAAACAAATGACCATATCTTTGCAGAAAGCCTCATAAACTTAAAAAGAACAACAAAAAAGCAGCTTAGAAGAAATAGATTACGTGCAGAAGAGAAAACCTAAAAAAAAAAACCAAACAACTATCAACATCCTCAAAGACATGAGATTGCATCCACAAAACAAAAACAGGCAACTATAAAGACGGAGCATTCAGAGACCTAAAAAGAGCTCTTAGATATTAAAAATATGGTGGTAGAAATGAAAATCTGATAGGATCAAAAGGTAAAGATACACTAATCTTCAGGAAGTAGAATAAAGAGCAGAGAGAAAACACAGAGAAGCAGAGAACACTCTAGGGGTCCCAATCTGAATACTAGGAGTTCCAGAAAGACAGAGACAGTGGAGGAAAGGAAATCAAGCACAAAATAATTAAAGGAAATTTTCTAGAATTTAAAGATAAGAGCAGGCCAGCCTGGTGGTATAGTGGTTAAGTTCACACACTCTGCGTCAGTGGCCCAGGGTTCACAGGTTTGGATCCCGGGCATGGACCTACACACCACTCATCAAGCTACGCTGTGGCAGCATCCCATACACAAAACAGAGGAGGACTGGCACAGATGTTAGCTCGGGGCTAATCTTCCTCAGCAAAAAATAAAAAAATAAAGATAAGCGTTTCCAGACTGAACAAGGAGAAGAGATTCATAACAAGGGACCATCACTGGGAAATTTCAGAATATTATGAGAACAAAGAGAAGACTCTACAGGATCCCACAGAGAAAAATACAGCAAATACAGATGATCAGAAATCAGGATGTCTTTGGATTTCAACAGCAACAATGGAAGCAAGGTGGCAATGGAATAATGCCTTCAAGTTACTGAATGAGAATGACTCCCAACCTAGAAGTCTATGCCCCGCCAAATAACTGCTTCCTTTCTCTAAAAGCTACTAGAGGACGTATTCCATGAAAACCAGAATAAACCAAGACAGAAGACGTGAGATAGAGGAAATGGAAGATCCTGCACAGAAGACAGGGAAAGGGAAGTCCTGGAGAATAAGATGACAGACAGCTGTGTACAAGGCACCAAAGACACCTGTTCAGATCAGAATAGACATGCCAAGAGACAGGCGTGTTGCAGGCCATCACTAAGGTTCCCACTGCCACTATACCATCTTTTCACCTGAGGAACAGAGTGTCTAGGCAACCCTGGCCTAGATGACTTGTTGGTACTTAGTCTGTCTTGATATGCACTGATTAAGCTCCAACTCTCCCTTCTCTGCCTGGATCAGCTGAGGACATTCATTTCATCCCACAGAAGGATTCCGCTCTGACCTATTCCTGGAAGCAGGCTACGGTGAGCTTAGAAGCAGCAAAGAGAGCAGTCTCCTCTCTCTGCCATATTTCAGCAGCACATCCAGTACCTGGCTCTCACTACAGGCCTTGCCAGATGCTCTGACTAGGGTAACCCTTATGTTTCTCAGGACTCATTCATGTCCTTGCCCACTGACTTCCCCAGAAGGGGCTCCTGTAAACTCTCAAGGAAGGGGAAGCAGACCAAGACTCAGACACTCGGTTCTTCCTCTCATTTGCTAGGAACCTTCTTCATCTAATAGTGATGAGACTACCCTTTCCTTAGCCAGGCTTTGCTTCCTAATTAGCTTTCTAAAACAAAACAATACATGTGGTAAAATTATAAAGAAAAGCAAGAGAATGATTAACATAAAAGCAAGAAAAATAGTTGTCTCTGAGGTGGGACAGGGAACAGGGAGAAAAGATGGCTGCAAGTGGGGAGGGTAATGTTCCATTTTGTAAGCTGGATGGGGGCTACATACACAGGTATTCATGTATTATTATTATACTTTACATACACACTTTCTATACTTCACTACATATACTTCACAGTAAGTTGCTCTAAGCTGACTGAGGCTCTGCATGGCAGAGGGAGGGTCTGCAGAGAGGTAAGATTCACTGTAGGGGGTCAGGCAGTAAGCCAGCTTTTTCAGTGGGAGATTCCCAAATGTCAATATCTGTGGACTGGTCTCCTCAAAAAGGCTTCAATCCCCTGCCTGGGGAGCACAAGCCAGGCTGCTGGCCAGAGAAAAGTAGTGCGTAGAATTTCATTTCATTCCCTGCTTTTCAGTCTTGACTCAGCTCCACTCTCTGCCCTGCTTGGTATCCTCAAATCTGGGGCTCGCAGGTTCAGTTTCTCCAGAGAATAAACCTGGGAACTTCTGCCAGGCCCAAGGATAATGGTAGTTGCCTGGCTGTGCAGGGTCTAGGGAGTCCAACCACTTGATACCCAGACTTTCCATAACCCGCTTGTTTTCAACCACAAGCTTCACCTCCTGCCTCGCATAATCACTGGTACCACTTAGCTGTAAGCCTTTCTGGGGTTCTGTGAGGCATGCATCTGCACTGTAACTTCCTCCACTCTGCTAAATGAGTTATTAATTCTCTGTGAGAAACACAGACTCATATAAAGTATTCGCTGTACAAGTCCTTCAAAATGGAACGATTCTATAAGTAGAACCTGTATTCCCAAATAAGACCTCAATAGGGACATCTCCTAGACCACATTTTCAATCTCTCAAGAGACTCTATAAAATTCTGTGTCACTAATTTAGTTTCTATACCTTCGAGGGTCCAGTTCATGGTCCTTGGATCCAGTCACTAATTCCGGATGAATTCGCACATGCTCCATCATTGGCTAGAAGAGTTTGGGTTGACAAATTATAAAAGGCTTAATTTCTGTGGTATCTCCACACAATGGAATATTTATTTGACAATAAAAAGGAATTAAGTACTGATACATACTACAACATGGGTGAACCTTGAAACATTATGTTAAGTGAAAGAAGCCAGTCATAAAAGACCACATATTCTGTGACTCCATTTATATGCAATGCCCAGGACAGGCAAGTCTATAAAGGCACAAAGTAGATCAGTGATTTCGTAGGGCTGTGGGGAAGGGGAGTGCGGCAGATCAAGGGAAAGGCTGAATTTCTTTTCAAAATTTCCCTATCTACCATTTAATACAAAAGTTATATGTGCAGCCTGTCTACATAGTATGCTAAGTATCAAATAAATGAGCAGTTTTCATTTACCTTGACCACTTCCTCAAAAGTCTCCAAGTTTTCCTTCATACTGTAGTGAGAACGTAGAAAGGAGACAAAGTTGCAAGGGTACATTCCATAAAGGCGATGAAAGAGAGCATAAACACTGGCATGGAGATGGACAAGATAGATTTCTGTCACGTGGCCTAAAAAAGGAAACAGTTGAGAGGTGACTCTTAGCTGGAAACAAGATTGATGTGTGCAAAACAGACATGAATACGTGGCTGCCAGCATGACTTGTTGTTTATGTATGCTCCCACCTTGCCGCTCCAAAGATAGTAAGTACGTGACTGTGGTTTTCTAAAACCCAAATATGAACACACCAGACACTCCTATTTAAAATCCATCAATGGCTCCCTATGGCCTTTAGATAAATGCCAAGCTACTTAGAGTGACCCACAAAGGCTCTTCTGATCTGATCTCTGCCCTCCTCTCCAGCCATCCCTTAAAAAGGACCCCAGACAATCTCATGATACTAAACTATCTTTATAACGATAGTCACTCTCCCTAAAATTTGTAATCATATTTCATATTGCCCTAGCCACAAGGCATTTCTTGAGAACAGCACCGTCTTACTCACCTCTGTACCCTTAGTGCCTCATACTGTGCTTGGTGCATAACAGGCGATCAAATATTTGTGGAACAAATGTGTGAGAACCTTTTAAAATCAGTAATGTAGTCTTAGCTATGCAGATTTGTAACTACAGAGTGAAAAAAACTATTATCCTAAAATTAGCTTAATGAGCTAAAAGAGTAGGAGAAATGGAAAATTTCGTTAATCTAGCCTTATCTAGACCCTATGGAAACCCCCAAGTCCACAGTATACATAAAGCTCCTCTATAATAATGGACAGACCATTCCTTTCTAAGAAGAATGTACTAAATAAGCTGGCATCCTATGGGCCTTATGCTTGTTACTTAATCCTGTACAGGAAGCCACAGTATTCAGTTTCACAGGGCTTACACATTCCATCCTTTCCACACAAACATCTCATGCTGGAATTACCAAAAGATTCCAAATCTCACAGGCTTATAGCTTCTGAATCATTTTGATAGAGCTGTGCTACCTGCAGATATGGAAAAAAAATCCCACTGCGTTCAAAACTAGAACACTAATTAGGACATACTGCATTTTGCCTCCTCCTTCTACATATACAATAAACAGGTTCTCAGAACTAAAAGTTGGTGTTCTGTGACAACAGACCAGCAGAGTAAGACAAAAATGTTCCACAAGCTTAGTGCTATACTGCTATGACATAGATTGAAGTTGTTTGTTAGTTTACTGAAAATCAGGAAGTTTTACATCCTACCACTCAGTTTCTCTGACAACTAATCCTTTTAAGTCAACAGAATAAGGAAGGTATCTCAACAGTCATGCTTCTTATTTGTGCCTACAGTGGACGCACCCAAGGTATTTCCTCCTCCGGCTAGTGACAAGCACCCATTTTAGCTATAAAATTCTACATGTCCTTTCCTTACAACTCATGACCTGTTAATCAATAATGAAAGCATTCACCCGGTAGGGTATGACAGGCATATAAAGAGATCTTTACCTGGTTTCTTCAGACACCATGACGAAAGACGGCCAAAAATATCAAAGAAATCATGAAGGTGCTGTTTCCCAGACTGTGGAATCATGGGTAGCATGGTTATCAACACTAAGACGCCTGTTGTGAGGACGACGACATCGGTGTCCATCTGCAGAAGGAAAGACAGAGCAAGAAGAAACACCTGTCAGGTGCAGCATTAGGATTGGCACTATTAGCACAAGAAGTGATTCTAAATACCGAGGGGATCGCAAATTAGAGGCTCACCCACAGACTCCTTTCTTTATCCCTAAGGGTTTTGGGGGGACAATACTGAAACAGACTCAACAGAAAAACTACTGAAGACCAGCTTAACTGTGAATGAGTCTGCAAGGACCACTTCTGATGCACCTGGACAAACCCATCCAGGAGAGGAGCTTCAGCCTGGCTTGGGGACTCCAAAGTCCTAAAGCCTAAGGATGTCCCATGTACTGCACTTGGAGGCAAGTACCAGAAGCCACTTCTTAACAGAACAAAGGAATGCTGTTGTTTTCATTCATTCAACCAAATCCTAAAATATTTAGTTTTTGTTAATCAATTAAAAAAAATCCACAAGTAATTGACAAGTAATTCACTGTTTTTTTAAGGACTACCAAAGAAGTATAATTTAAGAAACAATTAGTATAGCACTAACAAGTCTACTTAATGGCTCACCTTCATAGCACTATTTAGAGATCAGCAAATAAAAGAAGATATAGTGACCTCTGACCGTGTCTACAGTTTAAATATCAAGTCATATAACTTTAGGCTAATTGAAGATACTTAATACCCCACAGATAAGGAATCAACTCAGACTAGCTACAGCAGCTCACCTGACCCATAATTAAATCATGAATGTTTGCCAAGTAACTGGAAATCAGATTTCAGAAACAAGATATTAATCAAAAGACTACCACGCAGGCTAAGATATTCATTATTTCTATTAAAAATGGAATCTATGAGTCCAGAAATAAAGTTTTAAAAATATTTAGTTTTTACATCAAGCACCAAGCCTTTTGTTACGGCAGATTTCTAGTAAGAAGAACATAAAATATGGGTAGGAGAATCAAGAATATATAATGAGAATATATATAATGAGTTCTAGTAAAAAAGACTAACCCTAATTTTGTTTATCATAACATTCTAACTGAAGGCTTGGGTAATTAACAGTCCATGAGTAATTTTTAAGGCTTATCCCTTTTGGAAAAGATAAGTGTTTTGCAATCTGAACTAAACGGTGTGCCTCAAAATTGGACTACATTCTCATCAATCCATTCACTTAAAAAAAATTAAATTGTTAAAATTGTTCCTGTTTTTTTCTTAACTTAATAAACTTTTTTCTTAACTTAATAAAATGCTCATTTTTATGACAGCCTACCAATGTGACTCCTTGGGACCCACCTCCAGAGAGAATAAAACGGTTACCCTTGCCGGCAGAGACAAAAATCAATTTGCATGGTGCTGTATTAGATGAATCCAAAGGTACTGCCATCCTGGAACAAATACTACTGGATACTGTCATGTCTCTACGAGGTACAGGCAGTTACTAATAACCACATTTTCTTATTTTATAGATAGAGAACAAGTCCAGGAACTAAAAGAGATTAAGCAAATGGCCCTGAGTATTTCAGCAAGCTACTATCAAAACTAAAACCATAAAATTCTATTTAGGTTTTGACTTCCTGTGTAGAAAAATGCACTAAATTTAGTGCAAAAAAGTAGAATGCAACTCAGCAAGCCTTATATCAACAAAACCTTAATTACAGATGCAACCAGAACACGCTTCTAAATGGTTAAAAGAGCCTCTCAGCCCTTTTTCTATTAGCTAAAAGAGGATTGAGAAATGGGGGTTCCCCAAAGAGAAAGCAGCATGTTTTTAATTGAGGGAAGGCAAGAGAATGATGAAATCAAAGAGGGTTGGAAGAACGTAATGTTGGACCAATCTGACTGAAATGCTACCATATTTACTCAGACGAAAGGTATCTGACAGTCATACTGATGCACTAAGAACTTACTAAGTACCAACTCTGGACTAGATTACACTTGAGAAAAACCAAATGCCTAGATGTTTTTAAACACTCAAGGTTAACATCTAGCTTGCTTTAATTTACTCAAAATTTCAGAAATTCTATTCATAAAGCCATTTTGTTCAAACCCTTACAAACATCGTACCTTGAGACATTTTAGTAAAGAAGGCAAAAGAGGTGCTTGAGAGAGCTTATGCTTCCAAGATGGCTGCAGTCTTATGACGTGCCCCAGTAACGAGAGGGTGGATAACCGAGAGGCGGCTTTGCCCACGTATTCATTCATTTTGTCCAAGAGGTGCTAAAAATGTAAAAGAACAAGCGAAATATATCTCAATAAAGCTAGTGGGGGTGGAAATCAAGGGAAATCCTCATACAAATGTATGAAGTTAATGCAAATAAAGACAGCAATGATGTACTCCAGTCCCCCAAGTCTTCCCTTTGATGTAAAGCTAAGGTCAAGCAGGTAAAGAGATCAAATTCAGGATTTTTCAAAACCATGTTAGCAAATAAAACACTGCTGCATTTGGCCTGAGAGAGGGCAGCCAGTTTGCAATTCCTAAAAAAGGATCCCCATAATACAGGTCTGCAAGGGGAGGGGACTCCTGCGCAGGCCCTCTTTCTGAGGTACAAACAGCCACTTCTTACAATAACCACTGGTCCCAAGCCTGTGGTTGGTTGTGGAAGCTGTGAGGGGATCCTGCTGGAAGCAGCTATTATTGCTACAGAAGCCCAGCCTACATGGTTTGGCCCCAAATATAAATTGGATAGAAGTTAAAATTCAGCCCAGTGTGGGGAAAAAAAAAACAAGATGTACTGGAAAACGCACAAAATGGCAAGGCCTTCAAATCCTAGTGAATTCACTAGCATTACAAACTCAAGACTTTCCAAAGCCTGCCATCACAATGCTTTGTTGGCTATTTGCCACCAACAAAAATAAAAGCAAAAACCAAACACAAAGGAGCCCTCCAAGGGCCTGACTCATCAATTAGCCCCATTAATTACCTGCACTTACAGATTTTCGCATATTGACTAAAAGTCTAAAAATCCTATTCAAAGCAGGGGTTTAAAGAGGAGTACCTTATGGATCAAAATGTCACTGTACAATTATAGTATTGGGACGACAGGATATCTTTAAACAAAAAGACAGTAAAAAGCCTCTGAAATATGTTTTATGTCATAAACTTTTCAGGAAACACAGGTCCTGTAGATTATTTTTATATGAAGTTATAATCTGTGAGCAATGTCATCTGTTGCGTACAGAAGTCCAAGGAGTGAGCTCTGGACAGGCTGCGCAGTGGGTCTGCATAGAAGCTGTCACACTACTCGGAGAGTATTAAATGCTCTACTATTACATTCTGGCAGTTACCTTATCATGGGGCTCTTGCAAGGTAGTCAGGATGTGCAACACCGGCTGAGAATTGGTGTCTAGGTAATAATCCACCAAGGTGTTTACAAGCATTGGACCACGGTCTAAATAAAGAAAAGGGCAGTTGATAAGAGTTATTTCCTTTAACATTCTAAATTTACCTCAGATAGTTGCCTGTCACAAAATCCAGAAAATATGTCTTTATATGCTACCCAAAGTAATATGAAGCACCTAGGTATTTCTGCCTCCTTAAATTAATTTAGCTTTAACAAGAGGATAATTCCAAGTTTATTTGCCTAAATGTCCATAAAAGCACATGAAATGCTATTTCTTTTTTATTGCTTTTTTAATTACAAAAATTGATCCATGTCTATTGCTAACAATTCAGATTATATGAAAGTACATAAAATAAGAGTGGAGGTCCTTCTCATCACCTGCCTCCAATCCACTCTTCAGAGGTAAACACCCTTGAGTTTGGTACACGTCCTTTCAAACCTTTTCCTACTTGTACAGTCTCTCTCTCTCTCTCTCTCTCTCTCTCTCTCTCTCTCTCTCTCTCTCTCTCACACACACACACACACACACAGTTCCCATGTTCATATATCTGTATGTGTTTTTTTCCACTTAACAAGGCCGTTGTAGACAGCTTCCCATGTCAGCATCTACATCCTGCTTCATTCTCTTTACTGACCTCCTAGTGCTCCACTGCATGACTCTACATAACTAATTTAACCCTTCACCTACTGCAAGACATTTGGGTTTTTCCAATTTTTCACTATTATTTCATTCAAGGCTATAATGAAATACAGATCCTTATAAGTGGGCCAGATGGTACAGGTTTTTAAATTGACGTAGATACTCCAAAAAGGCTGAACACCAATTTATTCTCCTGCTAACAGTGCCCATATCCATGATCAATATTTGATTTTTGCCAACCTGGTAAGCAAAAAAAGGTACTGTTTAAATTTGTATTTCTCTGATTAAAGAGAGGTTAAGCATTTTTCATATTAAAAATCATATGGGTGATTTACAGAAGAAATGATATATCTGGGATTTGCTTTAAAATCTTTGGGTTGGGGGGAGTCAGGAAGGTAAGATGAAACAAGAATGACAGAAACTTTGGAGCGGGGTTTGTGGGGTTCGTTATGTGATTCTTATGCGTTTGTGTGTATATTTGAATATTTCCATAAATAAAAGCTTAAAACACATACAGATTGAATCCACCAATGTATGCTCTTTTTTGTTGGTTTTAAAGACTCTCTTTAGAAGATGAAAACCAAAATTCATCAGCAGGATTCTAGTCACCTCCAGGTCAATCTCTTCCGATTAGCAGTAAGCTAAAAAGGATATGGTTTTGCTTACCAGAATTGAGGTTCTCTTTAAAGACAGCTGTTACGTCATCACGCACACTCAGCACGGGGGAATCCAGCATGGAGAGGAGCTCCCCGATATTTGATTGTTGGGCCATTATCTTACACAAACGTGCTGTGCCGGGTCCAGGATGTGTGTTAAAGACTCTGAAGGCTCTTCATTGGTGCCACTACCAGACTGAGAAAAAGGAAGATGAACAGTGTGACAAAATGGCCCCATTTCTCCCCCACAAAAAATTACCTACAAAACAAACCAGTGAATGTGTTCAAATGTGTCCAAAAAAAAGTCTGTACAGAACTTTGGTGATAAAAGAAGCTAGGGTGTGTGAATTATTCTATCTCTGACAAATTTACGAAGAGGCGTTCTCTGGAACACAACAATCAGAGAGAAACCTAAAAAGCTGATACCTGTCAGAACCATCACAGCAACTTAAGGACAAGACCAAATCCAAGCTCTCTTTCTACTTCTGATTCTACCTTGGGTTTTGGCTAAGACTATGTTTATGCTTCAAATCACTGATCTAAAAAGTAGATGAACTATTCTCAGAAAAAGAACTAAAAGCATACTATTTTATTCTTGACAATCCCATCAAGGTCTAAAAGTTAGTATAGCTGGTGAGGTCCCAAGTACGTTAAGTTCAATACCTCATTTGAACCAGGGATTGTCTATTTTTAGTGTATACTCCTCATCCTAGACATCCATCACACACTCACACGCCTTTGGTTACAGGGAAGCAGCATGAACGGGGGCGTCAAGGGAAACCTTCACCTTTCAGAAACTCAGTTCTTTATGGTAGTGGAGCAGCTGCCTTATCTTCGTCTACAAAAAGCAGCTCTTTCCCCAAGTGTTATGATACACATTTATAACTATTTATTTCTCCCCACTTTGGTCTCTAAAGCTGTATTTTCAAAAACAAGTAATAACAGCTACATTTATTAGACAGGCACCGCACACCTACAAACATCATCGAATACACTCCTTACACTACCACTGTGTGACTGGTTCTTTTGTCCCCATTTTACAAGGAGAGAAACAGAGATCAAGCTATTTGCTCAGGGTCACAAAGCTAGCAAGAGACAAAACCAGGAGAGAAATGAAATTCCAACCCAGATCTGCTTGACTCCAAGGCCCCAGGCCCTTAAATGTGACATTAAGCTAACTTGTGGTTTTGATCCTCACAGCAACTCTATGAGGTAAGACGGTATTACCCTTTTTTTACAAAGGAGAATATGGATACTCAAAAAGGATAACTTTGCCAAGGTCACACGGTAAAGCAGAATATAGCCTAGCCCAGCTCTCAGGCCAGTGACATTTTAATATGTCATTTGCAGCCATATTAAAATATATTCTTATTTTCTATTTGCTTGTCTTTGAGTAAGCTAAAGTAGCAGTCTCAAGCTTTAGTATATGCTTGTTAGAAATGCAATTTCCTGGGCCCACTCCAGAACTGAATTTTGCGCTCAGGAATCTGCACTTTAATAAGCACCCCAGGTAATTCTTATATGGATGACACATAAGCCATGTTTGAGAAACACTATGCTAAAGAAAAATCCCACCGAAGAGTTAAGCTCCTCCTACAAGGATGCCCAATTTAAAGTAGCAATGACCCCAGAAACTGGTGAGTATTAACTTACTATCATCTATGCTCTCGTTTAATTACAACCTCGTGATATTCACTGATTTGGCTCTTGGTGAATAATAAGTTCATTAGCCAGAAAAATCAATTAAAATGTCTAAATGCATTGTTGATAGCAAATCATGATGTAAGAAGTTGCTGGCTCACACCTTATAAACCTTATAGGTAAATCAAAAAGTCAATTTCAAAAGGCTCAGAAACGTGAGACCACAACTGGTAAGACTTTACTGTAAAAGAGTTCAAAACTGAAAATAGGAATACATTTCACCTTATTGTGAGTTGGATTAAATTAAACTTCTGAGCAAAGATAATACCAACCTGTCAGGATTTATTGTTCATTGAGAGGATTAAATGAGATAACGTATGTCACACACTTAGCAGAGGACCTGGCACAAACAAACACTCACTGAGTAGTACTCGTATATTATCAGAAAGAACACTAGTAAAAATCTTTGGTCCATCACTTTCAAGATGACTTTTTAATAGCACATGTATCTAGCTGGCTCCCACATTCATTTCTATTTCAAGTAAATCACAAATAACTCTCAATTAGTGATAAAGAATGCAATTCATAGTTTTAAAAGTATTTTGTCCCTAAGTATGGTTTTGTTCCAATAAAAGTGCTACTTACCTAGTCTCAGCCTAGAGACTCTGAGTTTGTCTTCTGTGTATTCAGAAGACAGTCATGTCAGAGCTGTTCCTCCAAATGCAGGCAGCCCAGAGCACAGAGTGACATGAGCTCAATTCTAAACAAAGATGGCGCCTGTCCAGTCAACTTGGCAATAGTCAGGGCTGACCAGCTTGGGCTACCTAGCTTCTTTTTGAGTTTTTAAATATAATTTAGGTATAAAAGTCTGATTTCTGGAGCCTACTCTTTCAAAAGCTTTATAGAAGGCAAAAATAAGGTTTTATCTAAAACACGATAGAACATTTTTGGCAACAAGCTTTTCTCTTTGGTTCTAAAATTCTTTTGACCATATTTTCTAATCCCCAGAAGAAATATAAATCTTGGGCTTTGTGTGAGATTCTTCGTTTAAGTGACCCAAGTTCATTTTTGACATTCTAAAAAGCCCTCATGGGAGTTAAATCATAAGCTTTTGGAATCAGTCCTATGATTGGAATATCTCTCCTTTCAAAACTCATTCAAATATTTCTTGAGGGTCTAAGTGCAGGGTGCTAAGTAGGGAAGGCAGATTTAGCAAGTGCAATGAAGAATTATATGTGCTCGAAAAGGAAATGAACATGGTTCCGTGGGTGCACAAAGGAGGGAGGGGACCAGCTTGACCTGGATGTGGTGGTGGTGGGTGAGACGCACATGTGTTAAACACACTTGATAGCCTACAGAAGAAAGGCTGGGAAAAGTCACTTAAAGGTTAGCACCACAGGCACATGAAGCATCCACTTATAGCCGTGAAAGGCTTTCTTCCACTTTGGAAGTAAGCAAGTATAGAAAAGAGGAGACAAGAGAAGCCGAAAGTCAACATCTGGGTTAATACATTTCTGTATCCCACATGCCAAAGCAACATTCCATTTACTTTAATATTATCTCTAATGGCCGCACGCCACAGTACAGTGCTATAGATGATGCTATTTATATCACAGAACCATGACTTTCAACGCCCACTCCTGACCCCAAAACCTGTCACTCTGCCAGTCTTCTGGATCTCAGTAAAAGGCACAACCATCAGTCCAAAGCAAACATCTAGGAGACATTTTTGACTCTTCTACCACTCCCACCCCCACATCTAACCTCTCAGCAAACCCATGATCTCACTATCCCCTTTACCATCGCCCCAGTGGAAGCTCCCATTATCTCCCCTTGGAGACAAGGGAAGAGCAGCCTCCCTCACTACACTCCCCGCTTGTATTTCTGCTCCCCTACAATTCATTCATTCACCACCAAACAACCACAAGAGACACTGAAATATGGAAATCAGAATCTACCATTCTCCTGTTTAAAATCATTCAGTGGTTCCCCATGGAGCTAATAAGAGCCAAACTCATGAGTGGTCTACTAGACTACAAGCCTCCACGTGATTCAGCCATTTATGAACTCCCAACCTCCCTCTGCCTTCATTCCACACCACTCTGTCTCATTTCTCTGCTCTAGTCTCAGTCTTCTCAAACCCAGGAAAGCTGGTTCTTTCTCAACGCCTTGGCACTTGCTGTTTCCTCTATCCTTGGAACGCTCACCTCCCACATCCTTCCATGACTAACTGTCTTTCAGGTCTTAGTCTCCAAACTTGGCCAAAATCTGGTATCTGGCTTTGGCCTTGGTCTTCAGAAGGTTTAAAAGTTGAACTATCAACTGCCTACTTCAGTAGCATTTCTGACATCCTTAACCGCGTGTGTGTGTGAGATCAATAACTATATGGCCACGTCATTACCATTATACCTAAGCTACATGATGTCAGTAATGTGAAGAAGGCATGCATTTAGAATTTCTGTTAATATCTGAATATTCACTTTCAAATAAAAGTAAAACACTCTAGATGTAATAACCAAGTTTTGTGTTTTATAAGTTGAAATTCTGTCAGTTTAAGAATGAATGTATACTTATTAGAAAAATAAAAGCTTCAGTTCACGATGAATGTGATTTTTATATTCAAAAACAATTGAAAACTTTCAAATAGTTAAATATGTTAATAATATGAATACTAAGAGGGCAGATTATCTAGATAACTTTACAAATAACAGTAATTACTCTTTGAGCCAAATGTTTATAAAAATTTTAATAACACCTGGCTAAATAACAGAAATTAAATTATATTTTAATTCTAACTTCTATAGAATTTTTTTTTTTTGAGGAAGATTGGCCCTGCACTAACATCTGTTGCCAATCTTCCTCTTTTTTTCTTTTTTCTCCCCAAAGCCCCAGTACATAGTTGTGTATCATAGTTGTAGAGTTGTAGCTCTTCTATGTGGGACGCCACCTCAGCATGGCTTGATGAGTGGTGACTAGGTCCACGCCCAGGATCCGAACTGGTGAACCACGGGCCGCCGAAGCAGAACACACGAACTTAATCGCTACAACACCGGGCTGGCCCCCATAAAATTGTTTTGTAGCATTTCTTACAAACGAAATAACCTTTAAGAACTGCATTTAATTTGTAGTCTTTCAAGAAAAAGTCATACTTGGGAAATTTTCACATCTTGTGAGGATGAATTAAAAATACAATGTCAACCTGTCACTTCAATTTCATGACACGAAAAAATTCCAAAATCACAGCCAACAACATCTATGAGAAATCATCTCCAAGCCAAACATAAAGAATGTAGAATATGAAGAAAATAATGTTAAGAAAAAAATGAAATACCCAAACACATTTTGGGTATTTCACACTAAGCAGATTTCAAAACAGACTTTACAAAAATGCTTTAGGAAGACAATTTCTTGTAGTTTTCTATCTAAGGAGGCTAAAAATTTAAACAAAAGGCTCGTCAAAATGATTGCTACAGGTTGCCAACAATTTTAGTAGCTGAAGATGAAGGACTTTTGAGGTTTGCCTAAGCTATGAATCCCAGGTACAGGTTCCTTCTGGAAAACAATCTACCAGAAACTCTCTTGAATTACATTCTGCTCTGTCCAAAAAGGTTAGTGATGGGACTAAACGTGGCAGTTGAAGACGAACGTCTATTTGGTATCACACACGTCTAACACAGTGACCACAGGAGCAATCTAGCAGCTGATAATGCTAACAAAGTATTTTTCCTACATTAAAACTTTAAAAATCTGGCTGCTAAAATGTAATAAAATTGCAATAATGAAAAAAGTTTAATGAAATTTGAGATTTATGGTGTGTGCTATTCAGCTTGGGCCTCAATGATACAAACACCTGACCACCTGACATTGGGTTCAAATTCATATTCAGTAGACTTCTAAAAAGGGACAGCGTGAAGTATACATAAAAAATTTGAAAATGCAAAGTCAAACGTAGAAAGCTTCTCCTACTTGTGAGAGAACAATACTTCCACTTTCTTGTTAGACAGTCTACAATCTGTATTAAGTCCTGTTTGTGAACAAACATTGATCTTTCAGGCAAAAGATTATTATTTTGCAATTATATTATTAATTATAATTATTTCACAATTCCTATGATATAAGGTGAGGCAGACAGTGACAGAATATGGTAATGGCAACCAGTGAGATCTATCAGCTCTCGGTGTATAAAGACAGCGAACCAAACACCTTCCCTACACCCTTCCCAGAGACACACCATGTTGCTGCGTTGGCCACTCTTGCTGGTAAACTCAAAATTATAGCTCAGTGATCAGTCAGGTCACCAAGACTAAATTCATATCCACAGAAATGCCAGAGCCTCAATATTTATGAAAGATACATTCTGGGACTTTGAAAATCCTCCAATTCCTAGAAACCACTACAGCATATAATTTATCCAAAAAAAATAATGAAGACAATTAATAGATAAAACCATGTTAAGATGTAAATGCTAATTCATTAGTTTAGGGGTTCTCAGCCCAGGATGTACACTAGAATCACATGGAGAATTTATAAAATCCTGAAGCCCAGGCCTCACTCCAGAGCAGGTTAGGGGGTGGGGTCCAGATCGTACATTTGGTTTGTTTTTATAAACCCAAGGATTTCTAAGGTACAGCCAGGGTTGAGAACTTCTGCACTAGTTAAATGACTTACTCCAACACAAGGCTTCAATTTAATTTAGTGGTTAAAACCAAACTTTGCTGCTAGACAAAACTAATTTGAGTCACCGGTTTACCTGTGTACTAGCTATACAACCTTAGGAAAACTACATAATATCTCAGAGCCCAATTCTTCATCTGTAAAATGGGGATACACCAAAAGTGTGGCTGTGAAGAAGAAAATAAATAACACATATAATGCACTTAGTGCCTGGCAATGAAAAAGCAATTAAATCATGAGTAGTATGACTAATTACTTCACACCACAGAAGGCTCAGTTCCTGGCAAGTAGCTAAAACCATAAACGTCAAATCCTGAATGCAAAGACACACCTATGCAAAAGTAAGACCAGGGACTAGATGAACAATTCCCTTCCATCTTCCCCCAAACCCTGACTGAGTTTATACCTTACCTGTTCTGGGAACAACCGGTACTTCAGTTTCCAGTGCTGTCAACCTGGTGTCTTTCATGGTCACTGAAGGGAAAAAAAACACATATATGTACATAATAAACTTACAGTGAAATGACATCACAGATGCAGTCAGAGGGAGTTTAGGGTTCATCTGGTCAACCTCCTTCCTACTCTGTTCCTGACAGGTGGCCATCTGGTTTCCACTGGAATGAACACTTACAATCATTGGGTGCATGTGCCTCTTCCTATCTACATTTCTGAACAGCTGGTTGCTAGAAAATTCTTTACATTGTGCTGAACTTGTAATCTCTTCCTTTTGTTAACTGTCTGTTTATAAGAGCTATAAACGAATGGGCAGTAAATGAATGGGTAGGGTAGGCTCTAGAATTCGAGTTCCGAGCTGAAATCCAAGTTCTGCCATTTATTAGCCATGTAACTTTTGGCTATTTATTTTAAGTCTCTAACATCTAACCTTAAGTTATCTCATTTGTAAAATGAGAAGAAGAATGGCATCTACCTCCTAAGGCTATGAGGATCAAACAAGATGAAGCATCCTATAGCCCTCAGCACAGTGTGTGGCCCAGAGTATTTACTCAAGGAGCCCTGTGAGGTGGGCCCCAAGAGTAGGAACAGTGCCAGGCTCAAAGCACTAGTGGGCCTGCATTGCCTCATCACCCACCATGTTCCCTTCCCTCCCTAGGACCCTGCTCCACTAGCCTCTCAGTCTCTCAGCCAAGCCTCAGGCACCCCACTTCAGGACCACGTACATGCTGTCTCTGTGCCTGGGAGAATCGACCCCTGTCCCCCTCCCAACTAAGTCTTCACCTTTAAAATCTCAGCTTAAACATTCGCTTCATTGGAGAAGCCTTCGCTTCCCTCCACTCCTATGCTCCAGACTAGGCCAGGTCCCCTGTTAAATACTCTTAGCAGCCTATATTTCTTTGTCACTTACCGCAACCCAATTAAATAAGTGTAATTAGTTATCGAATATGTCTCCCTCAGTAGAACAGAAGTTACATCCAGGAAGAAAGAGAAGCTTATTTGGTACTTTATCTCCAGCAGCTACCACAGTGTCTGGTACTTGTTGACTGAATGACTATGAGTTAAAATATTTCTTAAACAAATGCCTAAAGCCGAATTCTGCCTTCAAAACAGCACAAACTTAATCTAATCCTTCTACATGACAAGCATAAAATGTTTGTGAATAGCTATCATTTCTCTACTTTCTTCCCCTTTTTGTCCTACTTTCCGTCCAAATTACCTCATATTAAATATCATGTTAAATATGAGTATATATAAATACATTCCAGTTTGCTTTTAAAATGTGGGCCCTTCAAACTATATTTAGGTACAGTCTGATCATGAGATTTTAAGCTCCATGAGGACAGGGACCATCTGTTTGGTCCACCAATGGACACCCAGGGCCTATTTCAGTGTCTGGCACCCAAGAGGCAAATATACCCTGTTCAGGTCAGCAAAGATTTCATCAGTTTCTTTGGTAGCCATTCCAGGGCTGAATACAAAGTAGGAAAGCTGAGCCTCATACACTATATCCACCTAATTACACAAAGCACAAAAAACCTGGAAACAAGTCCTTAAATATACAATCCTGGTCCAAGTCAAACTAGCAGACTGAGCAACTCTCTTCACAATTAAAACCTCTTGCTCCAGATGACAGGGTAATTTTATTTCCTTGTGGAGAGAATTCTAGGCATTAAACACCAACGGTCTTCAGTGGCATATGCAAGCGTGAGTGCAGTGCTGGGAGGCAGGCTTGCTTTTCAGAAAGGCCAACCAAACCATTCAGACAGGGAGTGCTCGCCCAGCCACAGCCACTCAACCAAGTACAGAGCTGGAATTAAAACACGGGAGCCTCTAATCTTTAAAATCTTAAAATCAGCTGTTAGTCTGGTGAGTCATTTAGACTTCCTCTTACAATTAATCCCAGTTGGATCTTTTACCTGAAAAAGAATATCTAAGGCAAGGGTTAAATTAGGATATACATAAGATGAGATCTTGTAGCCTGCTCAGTCAAGATCACTGTCTTAGAGGGCCCGCCCTATGGCTTAGTGGTTGGGTGCGCGCGCTCCGCTGCTGGCGGCCCGGGTTCTATCCCAGGCGTGCACCGACGCACCGCTTCTCCAGCCATGCTGAGGCCGCATCCCACATGCAGCAACTAGAAGGATGTGCATCTATGAAACACAACTGTCTACTGGGGCTTTGGGGGAAAAATAAATAAATAAAATTATAAAAAAAAAAAGATCACTGTCTTAGATAAAGGCACTGGCATAGGAAATCAGAATGTTTTTGTCTAATGCTCAACATTAAGACTTCTTAACTTCTTTACCACCATGTTAACAATGGTAATGGTAATAAATCAGCATCAATTTAATGTTGGCATATCAAACGATACCTGCAGTTATTTATATTTTAAGTGTTTATTTACTTATTCATTTATATTTAAATCCTGCCCTATGGAGGTACTGCTAGGTAAAATCATCCTGGGCAGTAAAGTGAGATGTGCATTCCTGATCAGAAGTGAGGAATGAAGGAGACTGCCCTCAAAGACGTGTACCTCTAAAGGGTATGGATGGAAACACCTGTCAGAGCATAATAGTCAATCCATGTCCTTACCTTCAAAAGCCAAATTAAAAAAGAAACACATCCCCAGACCCAGATTTTTCCTCTTTGATATCTGACCTGACCCAAAAGTTGTGTTCTCACCTAAATGCAACATTGTAATTGCACTTCTACAAGCAGTCTTTTTGAATAAAAACACAGGGTAGGTTTGAGGAAGAAGATGAGGGCTCTGTGCTTTAGTATTTTGAGATTAAACAGAAGGAACATAGGTCAATTTGTTTTCATAGTTCACCTTAATTAATTTCATTCTTTAGGTGTTAACAGATAGATGGCTTAGATACCTGGGATTACACATGAACTCCAGTGTAACAGCCATGTATAGCTGTCATTAGCAGGAACTGTACACATTTTTTCATCTCTCTGCCGTAGGTAAGATATATTACGTGCTGTGAGAGAGTTAAGAGCTATAAAACCTTTGTGAAATACTAGTGGCAGGTACCTAAAATGCCTTTAGAAAGTATTTTATCTGAAAATGTCTGTTGAATACTCAGACTTTTGGGAAACCAGTGTTGTATGTGGCCTTCTACCCCCAGGACTCCCCCGAACTGTAAATCACATGAAAATAGGGAATTACATATCATATCACCTAACATAATTTTGTGCACACTTGTCTAGGATGTAAAAACACAACTAAGGGTATACATGAAGGCAGATGTCTCCTCACTGTAACTTGTTTTCCATACTCAGGCTTTTATCTAAACAAATTCAAAGACTTTAGATACAGGTTCAAGCATGGATGGACTATTTCATTATCAAGTACAGTATAGGTAGAGCAGAAACATGACACTGTTAACAGTACAGATAATACTATTATTATGTTAATAATACACCATTACACTATTAAGTCCAGCTCTGGCTCAGGAACTCTCAGGTGATTCTTAGAGTAATATTCTATCAAGTGAACAAGGTGCCTTCAGCACAAATGCATCCAGAAAGGTAAGACACTAGTTCCAGCTCACTCTTCCTACTGCTGCACAGAAAGAAGGAGAAAGGGGTAGGAAATACTACTTAGTATGTGAGAGTAAAACAGCTGATGGCAAAACCTGCCAAAACGTGTGGTCATCTGTGATTTAAACGGTCTCTGCAGTTGTAGTCCCTCTCAAGGTCATATAAACCGGGGCAGGAGAGCTCCAGATTTTCCATTCAGAATTTTTGCCATTAGGGACCTTGAACAACTTGCTGAAGCTTATACCCTATTTCAAAGGTGAATCCTCCAGTAACTTGCCTATAGGGACAGAGCTTGATTTTGGTAACGCACAGCTCCTCTATAAATAATGGTTCTTATGTTTTGACTTTCCACTAGCGTCAACAAAATTATTTACCAAGAAAATACAGGCCCAGACAGATACCATGTATGTTTCCAAAAGTCACTATACAGAGCTTCCCCTAAAAGAAATCTGAGCAAACTGTAAGATTTCTTTAGGTTTCAAGCTCATGGGACTAAAATAAAAATATCCTAGGGAATAAAGGCACAGGGTTTGATAGTCTAGGAAGGAGATTCTCAAATGCTGTCCTCACACCAGCAACGTAAGTGTCACCTAGGGCATCCATTAGAAATGCAAATACTTGGGCCTTGCCCCAGACCTCTGAATCAGAAACTTTGCCGGGGCCAGCCCCGTGGCTTAGCAGTTAGTGCTCGTGCTCCACTACTGGTGGCCCGGGTTCGGATCCGGGCGCACACCGACGCACCGCTTGTTGGGCCATGCTGAGGCGGCGTCCCACATACAGCAACTAGAAGGATGTGCAACTATGACATACAACTATCTACTGGGGCTTTGGGGAGAAGAAGGGAAAAAAAAGGAGGAGGATTGGCAATAGATGTTAGCTCAGGGCTGGTCTTTCTCAGCAAAAAGAGGAGGATTGGCATGGATGTTAGCTCAGGGCTGATCTTCCTCACAAAGAAAAAAAAAAACTTTGGGGGTGGGGTCTTCTGGGTGATTGTGACGCCCACTAACGGTTGAGAACCCCTGGCCTAGGAAGAAGAAAGAAGGACGAAGGCAAGAAACATGAAATATACATTTAATATACATTTTATATATACTTTGAGGTTCAAAGGAAAAAAAAAATAGATAGTCCATAAACCTTGGAAAAAAGCCTAGTGGAATTCCACCAGGTGCTAAAGGTACCAGCATGGACCGAATGCCATGCCAAGCCTGACTAGCATTTAGCAACTTACATACCTGAGTTCTCCACTTTTAATTTTTTCTAATATGGCACCTAAGCTTGAATTCCCAGTGAAGTATAAAGATTCTTTCAAAATAAAAGTTTAACAAAATGATTTATAATACAGGGGCCGGCCCCGTGGCTTAGCGGTTAAGTGCGCGCGCTCCACTTCTAGCGGCCCGGGTTCGGATCCCGGGCGCGCACCGACGCACCACTTCTCCAGCCATGCTGAGGCCGCGTTCCACATGCAGCAACTAGAGGGATGTGCAACTATGACATACAACTATCTACTGGGGCTTTGGGGGGAGGGGGAAGGAGGAGGATTGGCAATAGATGTTAGCTCAGAGCCAGTCTTCCTCAGCAAAAAGAGGATGATTAGCATGGATGTTAGCTCAGGGCTGATCTTCCTCACCAAAAAAAAAAAAAAAAAGCAACATTAAAACAAACAAACAAACAAAAATGATTTATAATACAAATAGTACACAGGCCCATCTTTAAAAGACTTGGGCCTTTCCTACCTACTGGTTAAAAATAAAAAAGATTGTTTTTAATAAAGCCCAAGTCCATTTTTAATAGCAGTAATCTATCTAGAATGATCAGCTGGGCTTCAAGCTGGGTCCATGAAGTTCCAGAAGCCATATCCAAAATTTCAGATCTGTATGAATTTTTTTGGTAGTGATGGGACAGAAAGGAATATTTGGTCCATATCATCCCACAGATTTTCAGAGGGAAACTGAGGCCCCCGCAAAAGTTAAGAGCCAGTGACCCATGAGTTAGTCTATGAGATCTGCAGTTCAGCCAGTTTATCACAGTGAAAGATTAAATGCTTGGGCTCTGGAGTCAGCCCATGGGGTTCAAATCCCAGCTCAGCCACTGAGTAAGTGACCTTATGCAATTGACTTCAACTTCCTAAGCTTTAGTTTCCTCCCCTCCTTATCCTGTCTCTTAACGCTCTGCAAAGACGTAATGGGTTCACACATATAAAATACTTAGCACAGTGTTTGGCACACATGTACTCAATAAATATAAACTTTATTATAACAATATTACTACTAAACAAAATGTATTGCTGGGTACGTAAGGCTCAGCAGTCTATCCATTTAACAACTTATATTTGAAACATTGATAAAACCATTCTATAACTTAAAATGGATACACTTCGTGTTTGTTACTGTGCTCTGTAAACTACTCAGAGTAGCGCAGGTCTTAACAATTACAGACATTAAGGTCACTACATCTGTTCTTCCTTATCACTCCCCACTGGGTCTTCCATCACCAACGGAAGGGTAAAACTGTCCTTTGTCACTCAACTACTTCATAGCCTCTACCACCACTATCTTTACTTTAGAAAGTGACCTGTAAGTTCTAGGCCACTAACTACCATGTCTTGTTTTGTATCAAAGCTAGGTTTTTAAGGCACTTTACTCATTATATGACAATCTGAATTCATTCAACCTTAAAAAGTACTCTGTTACCCTTTGCTACTTTTCTGTATGGAACAAAAGTCAGCACTGCACAAGAGAAGGGACAAGAAGAAATTGGCAAGGTCCTGAGATTATATACAATCTTTTATATACATATATAATTTTTTATTCTCCCCTCCCGAAAAATAGACACTAGACATTAAATTACTTATTTCTAGCAACTATCAGCTTAAAAAGTAAATCAGAAAAATAATCTCAAATTGCTGATGGTAGACCTCTTTCAGACCAACTTAAATGGAAAAAAATGAGTATTTCATGCAAACTGAATTATATTAAACACTGAGGGGGAAAAACTCAGTGTTTGAGTATATACTAATTACATACATATTTTTTCAAAGCAAAAAGCTACAGGTTTGAATGCTATTGTGTATACTTTTCTTCCTTGCGTGCAGCTATTTAAACAACAAAACTAATACAAATAAAACTAATCTCTCAAAGAGAGATTTATAATATGAGGAACTTACAGGGAACTACCTTTTAAAAATAATGTGATATAGGGCCGGCCCCATGGCTTAGCGGTTAAGTGCGCGCGCTCCGCTACTGGCGGCCCGGGTTCGGATCCCGGGCGTGCACCGACGCACCGCTTCTCCGGCCATGCTGAGGCCACGTCCCACATACAGCAACTAGAAGGATGTGCAACTATGACATACAACCAGCTTTGGGGGGAAAAAAAAGGAGGAGGATTGGCAATAGATGTTAGCTCAGAGCCAGTCTTCCTCAGCAAAAAGAGGAGGATTAGCATGGATGTTAGCTCAGGGCTGATCTTCCTCACAAAAAAAATAAAAATAAAAAATAAAATAAATAAAAATAACGTGATACAAAGGAAAAGAAACAGGTCATCAATCAACAGCTCAGGCTAAAAGTCAGCAATTTCCTTAGTTATTATAAAGCCATTAACATTTTCATTCAATTTAGTCAGAATGTTTAACTGAAACCCCAGGAGGACTTTAAACCACAGAAATTTAGACTTAGAAATCTCTAATTTACAATCCAATTCTCTTATTTCACAGATGAAGAAACTGAGGCATAGAGAACTTAAGTGACTTGTTAAAAGTCACTTTAGAAAAGTTTGAAATGGTTGATGTTCTGCTGTATTTGGCGCATCTACATCCGAGAATATCCAATTAATTCCAGGAAAAGCTAATTTTAGTCCACTGTGGCCCTGGAACCCTAAAAAGAACATACCTGTACACCAACAAACTTTGAAAGAAGATAGAGCTGTAAGATCAAGTCAGCTGTAATTCAGAGCCCAAAATTCACTCACCACTACACATACCAGAGGTTAGAAGCTATTTTAAGCAATGCCTCTGCAATAAATTATAAATTAAAAGAAAAACAGCCAAATGGAAACTTTAAGCCAGTGGTCCTCAACCTCTGGTGCACATCAGAATCACCCATGACTTCTTCCAAACTATTTATCCAGGGTGTCTTCCAAGACCTAATATGTAGGTCTTGGTAATATGTAGGTCTACCTATTCCGGGGCCAGACATCTGTGATGGAGGTTCTGATAAACATTACTGCTTGAGATATCGTTTCCGGCAATTTCATTGTTCTGTAAACATCACATAGACAGGTATATATTTGATTTGTCCTAGTAAGACTGTTCAGTTTCTTCTCACAAATGAAACCAGGCATGCACAGAAGGCATCGTGTTACACCACGACAGTAGCAGTACCGGATGTCTTCGCTCTTAACCCAGTGAGGAAGAGTACAACTGAGTCACAGGATTTGAGACACTCCAATTTAATGAAAACAAGGAGGCTCATAGCCGCCTAGGAGTCTGTCTAACTAGGAATTTAGGAACATACCAAGTCTTCATGACACCAGGAAACGCATGAGGCAAAGAAAGCTTACATCATCCGCCCTTCCAGGCACGTGATGTAACAGTATTTTGGATAAGATATTAACTTTAGTAAGAGGATATTTTCCATTTACATCTTCTATAAATACTCTTAAGTTTACACCAGGTGGTTAGAGGAAGATTCTGCAGCTCCCAAGGGCAATAGCAAAAAATGTTTCAGTGTTTCTGAGGAGCCTCATTTGCCTGATGCATGACTGTTAAAGGTACATTTCCCTACGCAACCCTAAATCACTTTTCACATTTGCATATTCCAGGTTTACTCAGGAATGCTCAACTTAAGAATCACAGGTGGTTGCTCAGTAAATCAAGGGTTCCCAGAAGATTCGGTTTTATAATGCTTCTTGGAATTTACAGCTCCACTTTGCCAGCATGTTTGAATTCAGATAACTCCAAGCTGATCCCAAAATTATAAATCAAAGTATCTCAGAAGAGTATTATTCTATTTTAGTACTTTTACAGCTTACTCTATGTAAAGTGAAGTGCTATTTCTATGCTTTCTATAAAAAATTCAGCTAGGATTTTAGCAGGACTTCTTTCCGCTGAAAACTCCTTAGTTTTATAAAAACATCAAATACTTTCCAGCCTAATTTAGACTAACATGTTTACATATATTACACTGCCATCTCAAACAAAAGCTGAGGTCCATAAGCAAGTGCAGCCCTCTTCAAAATTACACACACAGGCACTGGAGCACAAACTTTGGTCAAGTGATTAATTCTAATCACTTAATTAGAATGACAGGCCAGCTTTGATCAAATAACAGATAAATGAGAGTCATGTGAGTATAAATAATGACAAGACTATAATCTTGGAATTAGACCCCAGTTCCAGTACTGGCTCAGACACTCCTAGAGGTGTGACCTTGGGCAAGTTACCCTAATCTCTCCGGGACTCAGTTTCTTCATCTGAGAAATGGAGGTATTAATAGCGGCTTCTTCCCTTTGTCGCCAGGACCAAAAGAGATAATGATTGCAAAGCACTTCCACTCCATAAACGCAAGCCGTTGTTCTTAGGAGGACAGCCCCCCCCCAAGCCCCCCTCCCCTCAAAACACATCAAGCAAAACTCTTTAACAGGAAACACAAAGAAAGAGCTTTCAATCGAAAGGTCTCCTCACTGCAGGCTATTCGTCCTCCAGTTCCTCAAATGAATGAATGAGCATCTAGGAGTGGCTCTGCAAATAGCTGTCTCTTAAGAATCACCTCTGCTGACTTTAAGGTAACTAACTGTCCTTCACCGTCAATTACACACCCACAAGCACACCCGGAGCGAGGCACTCCAGTCATGCAAATTTCAGCGGAAACACTGAGTCCAGGCGATCCTTGATGCTCACAGACAGCCTCCATTCATTCTCCCCCCACCCCTGACCCCTCTCATCAAGCCTTGGGACCAGCCCCACCCCCCGGCCCTTCCCCTCCAGCTGAGGGGTTCTCCTCTGCCCTCCGCACCCCCGCGGAAACCTATCACCTCGCCAAGTAAGGGGCTGGCGAAGGGGCCCACCTCACACCTGCCCTCGGCACCGCGGCCCGGGGGTGCAGCCGTCCCCTCGGCCGCCGAGGAGGGGCGAAGTGCCAGCTCGGCCCGCCTCTCCTCCCCAGGGACCCGGTAGCCCTGCCGGGCCCCGCCGGAGAGAGCGCGTAATAACAGGGGGGGAGTAGCTCTTAGATCCCCCCTTCCCGGGGTCTCCTCCCCAGCAAGTGAGCCCCTTGCCCCAGCCCTCCGGGGCCTCCCAGACTAGGGTGACGGTGCCAGGGCTGCCCCGAGAAGCCCCCATGAAAACGAGGGGGCGACACCCCCATACTCACCCACCGTCTCCTCCCCCTCAGCTGTTTACCTCACAGTCCCTCCAGCCTACAGGGCGCCGCCATCTTGGACGTACAGCACCTCCCCCCGTCGTGAAATGTCCACGGCCGACTGCAGCCTCCGCCACGAAAAAGAGTCCACAGCGGGGTCTCGCCTCCCCCTCGAACCCAGGGACAGGTGAACGCGGTCGGCAGCCCCTTTGGACGAAAGAGGCCATTCTGCTCATTACTGATGACGCGAACCGGTCGAAAAAAAACCAAGGAGAGTTTGTAAGGTAGGGGGGCGGGGACAGGCGGAAGGATCCCGAAAGGAGGCCGCTGAGAGATCTTGTGACTCCGAAGGAGGCAAAAAGAAGGGCCGGCGCGGCGGGAGGAGCCACGCGAGAGAGCGAGGGGCGGGGCGGCGGTCACGTGGCCAGGCCGGCCAGGCGGGAGGGGCTGTGCGAGAGGCGTAAACAAGTTCGCCGGGCTGGGTGTGGTTGGTGTGCCTGCTGCTGGACCCGGGGTGTTTTTCTCCTTCGCAGACCCAGTTTCCCGCTAGGGTGGGCTTGTGTCCCCGGCCACAGAGCTGCGATCCTTTTCCCACAGAGCCACTGGGGCCCGCCTGGGTGAAGGGTCTGCATTGGAGCCTTAGAGGAGTGGCAGGCAGCTCACCCAGGGAAGGAGGGCAGCGCTCACCAGGGCAGCCCTCTTTCTTTTGCACGGTATTTGCAGAAGCCCACCTCTGGGGCTGCGGAGAGCCACACTGACTTCTGCCCTCAGGTTGCCGACAGTTTAGACCTGATCAGGACATTTATGGAAAACCATCCTCAGCAGAGCAGGCAGCTTTAAAATCAGAACCCCTTCAGTTCCTGCTCTGCTACTTGCTAGCTGTGTAAACCTGGAAAGATTGAAGTCCTCTGAGCGTCAGTTTCTTTCTCTGTGAAATGGGTGTAATAACATCCGTGAAGTGAGGATTCAGGGAGGTAAAGTATGGAGGGTGTTCAACAGTGTCCCACACAGAGTAAGTGCTCAATAGGCGATAGTCTTTATCACGCAGGAGGTAAGATATGATAAGAGCTATGACTTATAGTAAGCAGTGTGAGAGAGCGGGTGGAGAGTGAGATGAAGTATTTGAAAAGCATTTTGAAGGAGTGGGCATCCGGCTGGGTTTTAAAGGAAAGGTAGGTTTTATAAGCCAGCCTGGTAGTCTAGTGGTTAAGATTTGAAGCTGTCACTGTAGCAGGCCAGGTCCATTTCCCCATTGTGGAACCACACCACCTGTCTATGGCTTGTCATACTGTGGTGGCTGCGTGTAGCTGTGATGCATGAAAGCTATGCCAACGGTATTTCAAATACCAGCAGGGTCACCCAGGGTGGACAGGTTTCGCAGAGCTTCCAAACTAGACAGATGGGCCTGACCACCCACTTTCAAAAAAATTGGCCACGAAAACCCTATGAAGAGCAGTGGGGCGTTGTCTGATACAGTGCCAGAAGGTGAGGGGTGGCTGAACACAGGGTTGTTAGGAGTCAGGATTGACTCGAGAGCACTAACAACAACAAATTCTATGAAATAGAAATGGGAGAGGTGGCTGGGAAGAAAAGGGCATTCCAGGCAGAAAGAACCAAAGAAGCAAAGGCCTGGAGGCAATAAATGCTGCGTGAGTTATGGGAATAACAAGGTCTGAAAAACAAGTTTTGTCATGGGAAACAGTTGGGTCACAATGCAAGGCAGCCTATGATTTAAGGGGCCAGGTGTGTGAGTGGCCAGCGCAGTAGGTGCTGTCAGGATTTGGAGAGGCCCAGCATGGTCCAGGGCTGGGCTGCTGCTAGCCTAGATGGTGCCGTTGTGAGAATTAGAAAAAGCACCCCCTCTGGGACCACCTGAGCAGAGTTCAGGCTGTGTTTCAGCCCCTACCCTCCCACCCCCAACCCTCCTGGGGGCCCTTGAGCAGTGCACAACCTTTATAACCGTGGTGGCTGATGGGGGAGGTGGGCATTGAGTTGAAGATTCCACCAATCTAACATGGTCATGGAGGCAGCTGGGGGAAGCCAAGAGTTCTTGATTCAAAGAGACCAGAGTTTGAATGCAGGTTTCTACCAGCTAACTGGGTGAGCCTTATTTTCCTCATCCGCATCATTGGGGTAAGAATAATGCCTACCAAATGGGGATTTAGGGTGGATTCAATGAGACATTGAGATACAATTTGCGTAAAGCCTAGTTCCATAAATGTTACTATGTTAACTGTGCTCATGGCCAGCATCCATCACTCCCAGGAGTTTGGTCTGCCAAATGATAAATTTTTCTGTGTAGCCACCCAAGTGTAGTCAGTGGGGTACAGAGTTGGAAAGGCTGGGGGAGAAGGGAGAGGGTACTGGTTCTCCCAGTTCCCCCAGTCCACAAGCTGTTTCACAGGAAAAGACTCCTGCCTTTGCATTCACACCAGGGCAGGGACTCAAGTGCATTCAGAGATTTCTGAGACCACCAGTGACTGGCAGAGCTCAGGGTAAGAGGTGGAGTTGGGGGCCAGGCACTGCTCCAGATCTCTGACCCAGGAACCCCCCTCCATACCCCCGACTTTCCTTGCCTCTGTGACCTCATCCTGCTGGAATGCTCTCCTCTGTGGAAGGGAGGAATGATACACGGAGCTCATCAACTGCTGGCCCTCAAGGGGGCCATAACCACATTGTTACTGTTTATACAGTGTCTGGAAGAAGAATGGTAATTGTTCTCTCGATGTGGACCACCAGGGGCTTGTGAGAAAGGCTGGAAAGAACGGCAGAGGCAGCTCTGCCACCATCTCCCGTCACTGCCCAGACAGGGCTGCCTAGATTTTTTTTTGCTTCTCTTGGGTTAATTTTTGTCATTTGCTAAATAGATGTTAATGAGACCGCTATCTTCCACACACCACCCTGGAGCCAGCCTGTGGCAGGGGCTTCCTGGCTGCGCTTTCTCCGACAGTCATGGCCCGCCTGTCTGAGTGTGATGGGAAACAAAAGGGCTGAGCCCTTGTAGGCAGGTGGTGCTGACTTGATGTATGTCATGGACATCCGTTGCATTTGTCTGTGCAGCGTATCCCCCTCCCCGGGGACAACCACAGTACCATCCCCAGGGCACAGGCACCTGGACCAGGCCTAGCCAATCTGAGATCCCCATCATCTATCCAAAGTGATTGGCCAATGGTTGGACGTGTGACTCAAGCTGGGCCAATCAGGGTGCTTCCCTGGGTCTTTATATATGGATGCTAAAAGAGAGATTTTGTCTTTCCTCTGGGATGAGGAAGCTGTGACCCTCCCCTCCCCCTCTCCTACACTAAGCTCTGAGAGAAGTCTGGCCAAAACATGGAAAAGATACAGAGAGATGGAGGCAAAGAGAGACAGAGATGGAAAGAGAAATGTAGGTTGCTATCTTCTGAATTTCCAGAATCCTTGAGGTCAGCTTCGCCCTGGTCCTCCAAGTTCCGTGAAGCAGTAATTATTTTTGCTGATGCTAGTTTCAGTTGGGTTTCTGACCCTTGCAAACAAGAGGCCTTCCAGATGCAATGAGATTTGAAGGCCTTTGAAGGAGACCACTGGTCAAAAATACCTCTCTCACAGCCTTAAGTTCATCCATTTGAGTGGTCTTCTTGTTTCAGCTTTCAAGTTTCTGTGTGGCAGCCTCCTGCCAGTCATCCCACCTTCAGTGGCCACACATCTCCTGCAGGATCGAGTCCAAGCTTCTCACAGTGGCCCCTGAGGCTCTCAACTGCCCTGGCCTCTCCAGTTTCATCATCATCCCCTCACTGTCTAGCACTGTGTCCAAATGGACTAAGACACTATATATATATATGTAGTGTGTGTGTCTCCTCTTCTTATAAGGGCACCAGTCATTGGATTTAGGGCCCGTATTAATCCTGTGTGACTTCATCTGAACTGAAATACACCTGTAAAGACCCTATTTCCAAATAATGTCACATTCTGAAGTTCTGGGTGGACGTGAATGTGGGGGGGGGGCACTATCCAGCCCTCTGCACCTGCTTTCAAGGAGCGTGGAGCCCAGCAGTTGAGATGGGAGAGGGACTGACCACACTGTGATTCAGAGTCAGGTCAGCCCAGAACCGACCTGCAAAGCACTACAGGACAAAGAGGTAGTGCTTGGAGTGATGAGGGCAGCTTACTGGTGGGGGTGGGCTTTGAGCTTTGTTTCTGGTTTAATCAGGAATTTGATCAGTGGTGATGGGGCAGGTGGGCTTTATGGGAAGAAGACCCAGCTTGAGCGAAGGCACGGAAGCAAGACCACCTAAGGCTCGTTTGCTTGATAAATGGTCAGATTTAAGATACACATGAAATAGGAGATAAGAAGGGCAGCATGGAGGGCCTCAAGCTAAATAAGAAGCCCGAACTATATCTGGAGGCAACAGGGAGCCCTGAAGTTTTGAGAGTTGAGGAAAGAAGAGGATCAAGTTGTCTGTTGAATATTGGCAAAGGCTTAATCTTCACTTTAACGCCTGCCGATTTACCTTTGAAATCCTGGGCTGTCTGTCTCCTAGGCCACCTCCTTACCCAAATTCCCCATCGGGTCCCTATACACCCCTGACAATACAAGGTGCAGGGCCACACCACACAGTTTGCTGGATGTTAAAGAGTTTCATGGTCACCGTGAGACCTTCCCCCTCCCCACAAAGCAGAAGTGTTCACAACTAGAGCTTTTGTTTTAGCTGCGCCTCCTCTGAAGAATATGCAGTGACCATTTGGAAAAAGGTGAATTTAGATCCCTACTTCACACCCTACACTGGAATAAACTCCAAAGGGATCAGAGCTCAAAGTGTCAAAAGTGAAACCATGGAAGTGCTGGAAGAAAACAACATGGGTGAATTTTTTGTAATAGGGAGTGAAGAAAACCTTTCTAAAAATAGCTAAGGGGCCGGCCCAGTGGCACAGCGGTTAAGGGCTTGAGCTTCGCTGCAGTGGCCCGGGGTTCGCAGGTTCGGATCCCAGACGTGCACTGACGCACAGCTTGTCAAGCCATGCTGTGGCGGTGTCCCATATAAAGTAGAGGAGGATGGGCACGGATGTTAACCCAGGGCCAGTCTTCCTCAGCAAAAAGAAGACGATTGACATTGGATGTTGGCTCAGAGCTGGTCTTCCTCACACACACACACACACACACACACACACACACACACACACACACAAAATAGCTAAGAAGTCAGAACCAACAAAAGAAAAGATGACCTCCAAAAAAAAGA